GGGCATATTTAGATTCAATTATTCACCAAATCAATATCAAAAGAGTGATTGTCAAGACTTGTGAGGTATTGATTATATCAATAAATATGTCAAAGTGTGTGGTGGAATGAGACAGTTACAAACTTGCCATGATCAGACTTGTATCATCATCATCAAGATCCAGATTGGGTGAGTTTCTACAGCTCTACATTCATCACACATGGGGGAGCATTCTAGTCCATGTTTTCTACATGAGCAACATGTCGTTCGAAAGTCTGGTTTACATTTACATCTGATAACTTTTAGTAATTTATCAGGTGCAGGAGGCTTGTCAGTTTGGATAGCAAGCAATTTTCCCTTCTTCACTTTCCAGCCCAATTCTTCTGGAGTTTGTCCTTTCCACATCAGAACCTGGTGGTATACTCGTTAACTATGGTAACTTACAGCTGCAGATGTTTGTGGAATATTCTTAGGCCCTACACATGTAACGCTTGAAGCAACTTTCTGAAAGAATTTTCCCATTCTGAGTGAATCCAATGTTTCATCGCACTTGCCACCATATAAAAGGAGAAACACTAAAGCATGACATACTTAACCTCAATGGACATGTCACTAGTAATGGGACCAACACATTTCCAGACAGCTTCAGCTAAAGCTGGCTTGTCTGCTTCCCGCATCAGCCCATCAACAACAGGCGAACAATGCTGGTGGATGAGTACACAGCTCATAGGTGAAAAACTGGACAACTCGTCTGTTGATTGCCCTAATTCCCCTTGCAATGGAAACAAGTCTTTGAAATAACAACTGGGGACCAATTTGTACTTCATTCAAGCTTTAATGATGTTTTCACACTTAATGTTTTAGCCTGTTCTTTTTAGTGAATGAAAAATCACTTGCGCTTTTTTCAATCATAGACTTTGTTATTGCCGCACCAATACACCAATAGACCTAGCATTATCGACATTTACTGTGTCACCAGAAACAACTCCAGTAGCTATATTACATAGAGAAGAGTTGTTCGTGAATGGATTTCTTGCACAAAGAAACTGTACCAACTCCATTAGGTCATTATGATCTCTAATTTGCCTGATCTTTGCACTCTTTGAGTTGCTCACATGTAATGTAAGAAACACCAGTGAACTCTTGCATTGCACGGTTGACTTCTGCACATACAGGTGTTGAGAGTAGTCAAACGGTACGTTGTATTTCTGACATACCTCTACCCCTTGTCAGCCCACCCCTTGTTATGACGCTCCTCATCAACACTTCAATTGCAAGATCAGTCGATATACCTGCCCAGTACCTGTCTGTCCGCCTAACCACATGGTATCCATTTAGGAATGATCGAAATACATCAGCATTACTTTCTAGTAGTTTTGACATAATCTGAAGATATATGTACACTGATTTTGCATAAAGATTATGGCCAGAGGCAGCAAAGAATGGAAACATGTCTGAAAAAGCTTTTAGATTGAGAAACCAGTTACCAGTTCTTTCAGCTTTAATGAACTGCTGGAGTATTTCAATCATCTCTATGTACTGTAACCATAACTTGGATGTTCTAAGGGAAGCGAGTGTTTCCTTGTATTGGTTGATTTGTTCCTGTATCAGAGTCAGTATTTCCTCCGAACAAACAGATTCTATTTCTGTCTCATGTGCAAGCAGCCTCTCTAGGATGGTCCTTGCTTCTTTCAACTCACTTCTTGTATCTTATGTTTGTGACCGATTTGCATTACTGAAATCGCCATGTTCGGGTATATCTGTTAATTCACTAGCACTGGTATCTTCTTGAATGTCTGATTCTTTTTTTGGTAATGAAAGGTCTTACATCATTGACAAAAGCAATGCATATAATGCTGCTTCCACTAGAATGTGACCCCTAATAGCACTGGAAATGGCCTTGCCACTCAACATATGTCTAACAGCATTCTCGGCATAAATTGTCTCTAATAGTTCCTTAAGTCTAAATCCACTCGTCAAATGTTCAGTGCAACCCAGAAAACTCATTTGCACATGCAGACCACCCAGTCTGAGAACAATATTCCTCACACTACTACTTGTGGGCTCATTCTGTTCGATTTCCAGTGATTCCCACCACAAAGGCTGGTCGAATGTGAGCACTGGTGTTACATCATACTTCTTGGCTTGTTCACTGATGAAGCACATAGTTGAGAAGATACGTGATTCATCAGTTGATTTCATATCGATCATTGGCATGAACATTAGAGATGAGACCTCAGGATGAGGACCTTGATGTATCATTAGCATAAAAGCATTCCAAGATTGTCTAGATGGATGTAACAATCAAGTGATTTTCCAGAGAAAATCCACATTCAATGTATCATCACCTGCTATCAAACTGGGTAACTAGGTATACTTTAATTTGACCATGCGCTTTGATAACTGCTTATAATATTTAATATTGACTTTTGCAACAGAAACTATATCCTCGG